TTTGCAGTTTTGGTTTGCATGAATTTATTTTTTCAGGGAACTTGGCTTGCATAAATTTTTTTGGTACCCCATCACTTTCCTAATGGACCGTCCCTTGCTAACCGAATTGAAACATTTGAGTCTGGAGAACAGGTGTCGTTTATACTTAATGCCTGAAGGGTTAACAATAACCCTTAACTCAACCCTTAACTTCACTCAATGAACAGTGGAGATTTCAACCTGAGCTCGGTCCAATACGAGTCAATCAAATGGGTAACCCAGTAGTCTAGACTATAAGGCTAGAACCTCATTCATGGATCAACACGTTCGAGGCCATCAAATCGAATTAAGGTGCCAAAAGTTCAAATGTACTCTTTTTTATGATTACCAGACTGACCCATAGTTGCGTTGTTTTTCTTTTGCCAGATTTACGTTCACCGTTTAGTCAACAAAAGTACACTGTATTTCCTGTTTGTCGAAAGGAGGGTGCAGCCAGCATCAAAGGAGGAGAAAGAGAAACAATCGCATTAGCTCTATTTTTTTATTGTATCAAAAGCCCAAGAGGCAAAACCTTGCCAATTCTAAAACTGTCGTGTGGTTTTCTGCTATTAGGTTCGCACAGATGTGGCTCAGTAGTCAGGCGACAGACTATTGTCTGGGATGACTAGGTCCGATAAGTGGAGCAGCAAGTAAAACTTTCGGCTGAGTGAAACTTCTATCGCCTTCATTGATTGAAAGGTTCATTTTTAAGGAGCGAATGAATTATGTATGTCCTGATTGCCACCCGAGAAGAATTCCGGACTTTTTATGCGTCGTCGGTTTATGAAATGTTTTGCGGCGTCAGGTCTGGAAAAGAAAACCCACAAACATTCTAGCACATGTGTAAAAGATTTACTATAATTGGATTATCCCAGTTATAAATGAGTACTAATTCTTGTGGTAGCAAGTCTCCCCGGAAAATCCGCTACCTATAACTGGCGTGCGTAATTGATATGGAATTTAAATTAATAGTGCCGGAAAGCACAAATTAATAACAATCTAGTCATGTGCAACTTATCAGTCATTAAAGTCATGGCTGCAATTGTTCCAAAAGTTACACTGAGTTTGATTACAAGGAATCATTTGGTTTCGTTTAGTTGTTTTAGTTTTGTTGTGCGACCCGTTGATAGTCTTGATAGGTACCACTAAAAACGGGGAGTGAAGATTTCTTCTGTATTCACTTAAACACTTGTAGCGGAATTTTTAACAAAGCTTAAGTACCGTCCGCGATCCGCTGAGGACACACAATCAAATCTCTTTTCATTCAGGCGCCTCCCTTAAACATGCACCTAGAGCCGACGGTGGGCCTCTACAGTTCTTTAGTCATACTCGAAAACTCTCTATAAGGTGAATACCTCTCCTCTGTGCCAGTCCAGCTACTCTCAGGGGCGCACAACGACGGTTTTCTCCTACTAATACATAGAAAACACTCTTAAGGCTATCCAGAGTACTTTTAGATCTCTAGAAATGCATTCTAAGCGGCGATTGATCATCTTACGAGGAACTTGAGGCTTTTCGAAACCAGTACAAGGGCTTCCGGTGTTAAATTCCCGAAAAATTTAGATGCAATTGAAAGTTTTACAAAAGTGAGAATTTTTCTTATTCCTCTCTCCATCACATTTTTGAAAACGAAAATTTAAGGCTTCCTTTTTCTAAAAAAATTAGCCTAACATAAGGAGTAAAATGTAAAAAAATTAGAAAATCGTAGGGGATTTTATAGATAAGCTTTGAAAATTGTACCTAAATGGAACGCTCATTTGTAAATGTTTAGCCGTTTAGTCAAGTTATAGAAAATTCTAGGCAATATTTGCTTCTCCACACAGATTTCTTACAGAAAACAGTCGTTGGGTGCCCCTGTACTGTGTCGGTGTTAAAATCAACTTTCGGGGTGCTGAAGGAGCTTACGTAGAAATGCAAATGATTAATTTTGTATGTTAGACAGGATTGCGGATTTTACCGGCACTAATTCATGTTACTGGCATTTTAACCGTGCTTAAATTTTTAAACAAAGATCAACAAAGTAACTTCTCGATTTAAACTGATTTTCCATGTTCTCATATATGTAGGAATAGAGTCATCAAAGACGCCCTTGGTTTATAATCTCAGAGAACCTGGCTGCTGAGTAACTTCAATATCGTCAAAAGCGGTTTAGCAAAAAAGTCTGTCTGGGTTCAGTTGAGGATTTGTAGAATATGTACAGGACAATTGGGGAAAGGAAGTTCTAATCCGGTAATACCAATTAGAAGATTTGCAGGAATTTTAAAACATGTTCAGGGAAATGACATCAGCATCGCCGGAGATAAGTAATCGATTCATAATCGAAAGGAAGCAATCCGGCTATTGCTCTTGTTTCTCGTTTTCCATTTTTAAGTTTTATTGAATTATTTTTTTTTGGGCTTAATAATTCTATAGCCAAGACCTGTAAAGATGCTCTCAGAACAATACAGCCCCATTTCATTTCCAATTATCTGATTGGTCGATTCACCAACACTTGCCAGACCCTTCTTGCCACATCGTTGTTTTTTTCAGTTCCTTTCTTTCTTTTGGTTTAGTTTTCGTTTTCCTCGTTGGATTAATCATGATTTTAAAACACATCATGATTAATAGAACAGTGTGAGTTTGAGCCCCTCATGCAACTACAACACGAGGTCGATCATTTTGCAATGCAAGTTCATGTTTTACCGTGCCGCTGTTTTCAATTTATTTTAAGATGAAAGATTTATCAGCAACATTTCATTTGCCTGGGACAAATATCCTGTTACGGGGATTATTTTTGTCAGTCAATCAGATTGCAAGAATTTGCTAACTCAAACATTGTGCGATATTTATATTTATAATCTGAAAATGAAATTCCTTGCATGAAAAGTAAGCAAATAAATTTATAAATATCTGACAGCATCGGACATTCTTTGGGTTTTCAACAGCTACAGGAATAGAATACGCACGCCTAATTTTTCGCCTAAATGATATAAATATATCTTTGCATGGTTCCTTTCAGGATCTCAAAGAATATATCACTGACCATTATATTAAATAGGGTGTGATTCTTAATTGATCGATATGTTCATGGCGTAACCAGTGTCAAATGGAACGGGGCGTCAAACGCATGCTATATTTCTCGGCTGTCATCGACATAAGGTTAATGTTTTAAGTTGGACTATGTCAAACTCTTAAGTACAATTATTAGCTGCAAATTTTGGCGTTTTACCCCCTACTTGAGAGTTAATCCCCTCGCAACGTACCAAAAGCCCTTCACAGAACTGCGGCAACTTCGCACGAATAAAGAGAAAAGTCCTTATCAATGGACAACCGGATATCTCCTTTAAGTGCTTTTCATTAAATGCTTCCGCGAGCTTTTAGACGCCTCTAGATAGGTCCTAATGTAGAGCCTTTTGTCAGCTGGCTATAATTATGTTATCGCTTCGTTGTTTTCACAATTGACCTTGTGCAAACTGCAAATATGGGCTCAAATATTTAGAGGTTTTGCTTTCGCGTTGACTCAATGCAGACTGGGTTGCAGTGCACACGTAACAGTGAGAAATTGCGTAGTTCTGATCAGTTCAAGTCCGGCACTTAAAAATTGTGCGTTAGTTATCAGACAAAACCGATTACTTTAAACACTTGTTGTTTTGTTGTGGGATTTAATGCGCTTTTAATACGCAATTCTTGAGAAACCTGAACACGCTATCAAAGAAAATATCGGCTTGTTTACTAGAGCAATACTTTCCTTTAAATACCGGATTAGAATGTTTGGAATTTGGATCGAACAGATAGTCAAAGATAGCCTAAACATGATGTAAGCTGATGTATCGCTTAAGGAAAAGTCTGCGAACAACAGTGATAAAAAGGTTACAACGTGCCAACGACTTAAACGTATGTTACTTATCTGAACTAGTCTTTGGATCTCTTTCTATCGTGGATCTCTTTGCCACAATTACATGAACAAGGAAGAACCCGCAGAGAAGAAAAAGAGTTTGTCTTTCTCAGACAATACCGTTTTAAATTAACCGTTTGTTGCTCCAGTTTACTAACAGCGGTACTAAGCTTTTTTTTCTGCTATTCTCTAACAAATCAAGTGTGTTGTTGGCGAAGACAAAAGCTTTCTTTAAGAAACATTTCAATCCCTATCACATAACAATCACGTTGATGGCATAGACACGGGAATGTTTTTTATGAAAACACTCCTATCTTATCTGGATGGAAATGCTGCGGATTTTGGGCCTTGATCTCTTATTCCCTGATAAGGGTAGTACAGAATGGTGCAATTGTATTCCAAAGGTTTACAAAGGCTCGCGTGTCATGTTCGTAATTTCGTATTTCCTTTGCTTTCGCAGAACAGCAGTTAACATTCTAATTTGCATTTTTGTTTTGTTTAAGCTGTTTATTAGCACAATCACAATTCAAGGAAATTTAGGACAATACTTCCAACACTAAATATAGGTGACGAAGCATGAGAGAGAGAACATTAAACACAACCACTAATTTGCATGCTTGTATAGCTTAACCAGGCATCGATTAATCCGATTATTGAGACTCATTCACGTTCCTCTGAGCGATAAACTTTAATAACATCTTGAACACTTCCTACTCAATTTCCTGGCTGTTAAGCCTGTTCAAGAGCTCTGCATGGCTCACTCCTATCTAGTTGACCTCGATTTCAAAAAAGCGTTCACTTTGATCAACCAATATTTGTACAATTAATTTGAAATCAACAGTCTCAACACAAGAGCTGTACGCCATTTGCAAGTTAATACTGGATAGTTGGTTGGATCAACAAATTATTGCGAGATGTTTACTCAAGCGGGGTCCCCGCGGAGGTTTTCCACAAAGCGTTTGCGCCGCCCACTGTCCTGTTCTGTCATTTGATGCTGGCACTGCAACGTAGACGTTTTGCTGCATGTGAAGTTCGACACTTCTTACAGCTTGATCGCTAACCCGAATTTCGAGTCCTCCTTGTGGGTTTTCAAGACGAACGCTTAGAAATGAAGCTTTTGTGTGTCGCAATTCTCTCGGGGATTTTGATGAACTTTATTTGTGCCGCGTTATCTTGTTCTCCCGATGGACGGTCACCGCTTAAGCCTACAGATAGAGTACGGAAGGCTGACTTCGTGATCCATGGAACCGTCAGGGCGAGCCCTCGTCATAGACATAAAAAGGACCACCTTGGTTTTTACAGCGCTCTCTTTGAAGTTCATTGCATCTTCAAAGGAGGAAAACTACCTAAATTTGTCAATGTGTCCCGGTTTGGATTTGTCGGAGGCTTATGTGCGCGATCTAACGCTTACTTGAACAAGACTTACATAGCTTTCATTCGTAGAGATAGCAACGAATGGTCAAACAGCACTCGCTTTGTTACTCACTGGGTGAATGCGCAACCCGCGACAATTAACGTCAAACATAAACCATACAAATCGGTGCTTAAGGACATCGCGAAAATTTTTAAAGAAAGTGCAACTTTGCCAGAAGGAGCATCGAAAGACAGCTTGCCTGGATGTCCAAAACTTTCGCTTTTTGTCGTTGGACGACCCTGCCATCGAAAGTCAAATAAACCGCACAAGAAAAGAAAGCATAAAAAATGTCACGTTTCTAGTTCACCTTCCACACAGTTCACTCACTCAACCAATGGACTTACAAGCTCAAGAAAGACTTTGATATCAGCAAGGGTCTACTCAAAAGAAACTGTACTGTCCACAACGACAAGAATGAAAGGGAATGTAGAGTTTCCCCCACAAAGTCATTCTTCGGCCTCTCGGACTACTGGCCTTTGTTGGTGTTTCGTGTTGATTTTTCACGGTTTGGTGTTGGTGGTTGTTAAGTGGCACCAAACTTGATTTGTATGACTTTGCCGAGGCAAGGTAAACAAGTCGCCAAATAGAGTGATGAGTGCGGTTTGGTTTATGATCGTGCGCGCGGGTATGGGTTAATCTGACCCTAGCGACTTTTCTTCGTAAAGGATGAACCATGACGCGGTTCAATCGAGCAGGGCAAGATCATCATTTTAAGTAGAACTCATTACTGAGTGCAAACACGATACTTCAATTGGAGTGTTTTTAGCAAAACAATGGCGGAACGCACTGCGGAACGGAAATGTACAATGTATTATTAACACGTGTGTTCCTATATTACACAATAGTATAACATCAGAAGACGCATGAAAATCCAGGTAGCCGGCGGTATTTTTGTCGATCCGATTGCGGCAGGAAGACACAAATTAGCCAACTGTCTTTCTTTGACGTGATCACGGCGACATGGACCCTGTTCATTCCTGTGTGGCTTTTGAGAATATCGCCACATGACAAAGGTTTAACAGCATGCCGAATTTATTCATGCATAGACTCAGGACCCCCAGTCCATTAAGGAAAAAACAGACTATTTTAAAAGACCTGCGATGGGACATCGCTTATTACTTTATAGCGACAAACGAACGCATTAAAACAGCGTTTATTTTCTGAGATTCCTGAACCAAGATACCCAACTTAGGGGTTGATAGTTTTATTGTTTACAAATAGCTGTGTTTAAAACTCTTTAAGTATCATGTAAATAATGTATATTTCACAGAAAAGAAACCGTTTAGTTAAACACAAGGTTTAACACTTTTGTGTTATCTTAAATACAAACGCTTCAATGTCTCAGAAGCGCGCTCGTCAAAACAATTTTGCCTACGAGTTCTTTATTTTCTGCTTGCGGAAGGGTAATTAGACCAGCTGATGCGAATACTCTTGGAGTTAATGCACTGGCAATTAGAAAGCCTCGATTAACGCATAATTGGGAACTAACGCTTGGGCAAACGGAGAAACAAAAAGGATGTTGACTCGAGAGAGAAACCTAACAAAGGGACGATAAACAGACAGTACTAGTGTAATAAGATATAAGATATGGCACCCTTTTGTACAAATCGAGAGTAAAGAAACAGGGTAATCCGCTAATTCCATTTTTATGAAGGGGGATTAGTGTCAGTTTGAGGGCAAATTATCGGCCTTCGCAAAATTCCGGACAATGTACTTGCTCAAAGTTTAAACTGAATTCTTAAACAACACTCATGAAATTAAAAAGACGGCAATGGATACGCGAGGATGTAATTATAGTAGAATTAGCAGGGGTATTAAATGGCACTTGCTGTTAAATTCCTGATCGTGTAAATAAATAAACTTTGAGATTTAAAATGTAAGCACTGTGGGTGAGATAAAACCTAGCAACTGCACTTGACATCACGGCAGAGCAGAAGGCCATATCCTGTCTTCGTGTTTTGAACAAACCTCGCTGTTACGGTTAACAGATTTGCTGATAAGTTTGCGGTCTGTATATATTGGGCCAGATTGGGTGATCGTTGCGTAATGGTAGACGGAATTCCGCTATAATTTACATTGGATAACTCGTGAATGATGAATGTCAGGAAAGTGATTCGATCGTAAGGTCTGTAGAGCTGCACGTCGACTAATGCAGATTTTGGGCATCTTTAAAAGTAAAGTGCGTTGAAGTGATCAGTTCCATTGCCAGTGAGTTCCAATGGATTCCTTGTTTCATGGGCAATTAATGCTTTTGTGTAACTATTCTTTAATCGATACAATACCGCTTTTAAAGAATTTAGCAAAATTATTGCAACGATAAAAGGCATACATTAACCTTTAAAACCAAGTATAACCGCTAAATGTCAACTGAGGACCCAAACATACGAAGACCTGTTGAAAATCACTTTCAAACACTAATTTACAGCTTTCTGTAATGAGTATGTAACCGACTTTGGAATTTTATCCAAAGAACCTAAAAGTTACAATTGACTTCAGACTATTCTAGAGGGCATTTGAAGACTCTGACAGTGAAAGAGTCCCGGGATTCTTAGCCTTGTCTCGTCAAAACAGCTTTGCCATAAAGTGATACACAAAAAACTCGCAGCTTGAAAGAAATAAGCCGCTGTGATACTTGGACATCGCGTGTTTAAAACCACTAAGTAAGAAATGGAACTAATTATAAACTTCAAATAGTTAACATATCACGCATTGCTGACTTGGCGTGCGTATAATTATTGTACCCATGATAGACAAAAAAAGGGGTGCAAGAGCATACAATGGCGTTTCCATGACCTCTTTTTAAAACGTTATTTTAAAAAGTCACGCTATATTTTACTTTCTTTCCTCTCTTCTTAACTTTTAAAAAATCTTAAGCATACAAAGTTGGTCAACTTTACTGAAGTCGAGTCCACTTAAACAATTGAACTTTTACAGTAAGTTTTTTTTCTCGAGAACTTTGTTCTCGTGACGTTTTGCGGTTTCACTCACCCCTCCTGCCAGAATTTAGATATTTCATAGTGCAGTATGGGTTTACATTATCGTTACCTTATTTTACGTTGGTAACTAGTATCAGTCAGTTCACTGACAAACCTAAGGCCCTACGGTGCGCTTATTCTAACCTCAGTCTCTCTATCGATTAGTGCTCCCTTTTTCTGGTATTTAAAGCTACTTAAAGCTTCACAGAATGGAAAGTCGAGACCCTCAGCACAGAAGTCGACTGTTTAAATCCTTGCTCCTCGTGCTGATTTCGGCTTGTCTCTCCTATCTACAAAATTCAAGGCTTCATCAAATCAACAGAGCAATGGCCAATACAATCGGCTCACATACTTAGGAAAGTAGCTGGGTTCTGCATGATCAGCAGCGCAGTGGTGTGGCTCGGATTTTTCGAGAGGTACACAAAGTTCTCAGTTTTAGATCACCCTAACCCGTCTGCTAAATCCTCTCCATACGGCAGCATTTTTTATGCATTTCATCTTGCAGGAGCTTTGGTTAACTGTGGTCTCAGGACCATGTTTATTTTCAAATGCCTTACTCTGTCCAGATTTGTGGGCCACAGTGCATACTGCTGCTGCTGTAATTGTGTATTTGTTTGTTGTTGTTGTTGTTTTTTTTTACAACAGGCAACGAGAAAAAATTTACGGCTTCCACATATTGGCGCACAGAAAAATTGGGGAAGGGAAAGGTAGGGATGCATGAGTTTGTTTTGAAAATTTTTTGACGTCAGTCAAAGCTAAATCACGTACATGGGCGATCGCTATCGCTTATTCACCGTCTGTTTATTTATTTTCCTTCATTTTTTGTTTTTGTTAATCTTCCTGTCGACATTTTTTTCGTTGAGCACGTGTGTAATGGCGTGCAGGCGCAGGTCGAGGTCCAGTAGCTATTCCCTGGATCAACTTTCTTATTCAACGAAAGCTGGAGGAAAAGGAGAAGCGCCACTGCCTAAACTTAGTCTTTGGATCATGGTATTTTAGAAGATTTTAAGCTCTTTTTTAACTATTCAAGGAGCTCTAGATTCTTTAAATCTGCTGTATTAATTGGCTATGCCTTATATCTTTAGTTATGGGCTGCTGTCAGTAAACCAATTGAGCATGATGGCTTTTCCTCATCATTAAATATCATACTTTCACTTCTGATTAAAAAAGAGGGAAAAAAAGTTGTTCATATTTGTCAAATGCAATATAAAGTGACTTTTAAGTGAATATATGACCAATGGTAGGTGTGTAGCATGCGTGACAGGCATTTCAGTATGTGATGCGCCGTGCGAAAGAGGAACCGAGGTCAAAAGAGAAAACAAGGGGAGAGGGGCGGCGGGGGGAGTGGTGAGGGGAAGAGACAGAGTGCTAGAGAAAAAAACGAGTATAGTAAATATAGTATGGAAGCAACTGGTGTCTCTTTTATCCCAAGAATGATACGAAGAAAATAAAAAGCGTTTCATTTGAATACAGCACACTTCAAACTATTTGTATTTGTATTTTCAGACAGTTAGATAAGGCTTGTACCGGTAATTACGATAAACCTAGTAAATTTTACTGCCGTCGATGGGACTTTTTACCTAACGCTATAAAAATTTTGTTCAAATACGCATAAACCAGACATATGCACGTCACTGATAGTCCTCACCCTGCTTTAACATCGCAATTGATCACCAACCTCGTGAGCGAAGTTACAATTTGCAGCCCGGAATCGTGAAGTAACCCTAGCGAGAAATACCGCGGTACTATTGAACGTCAACTTTATTCAGAACAGACTTGGCCGTTTTAATTTGCTAAAACTATGAAGTTTTGAAGAGACATGGCTTCGAAATTCAAGGAGATAGGTTAGATTCTACGATGCGGACAACGAAGGACTCGTGTAGCCGGCTTCCTCAATCTCCCAATTCATTTCTTTGCAAGAATGCAAAAGGCCGCTTGCTTGACCATGTCACATAACTCGTGAGAGAGAGATAGTTTGGGGAAAAAAAGAGGGAATTTCATTTGGTGGCACTTGGGCTGAGTGGAAAAAAAGTTTGAGAACCCCATTCGCAACATTAACACTATAGTTTTTACCGTATGTTCATTTATTACAAATAATTAAGGTATTAGATTTCTATCTTGGCTATGTGGTAATTTAATAACGCAACGTACAGAAAACTATTTTGAGCCTATTAAACGTTGGCCTGCCATATTATAAACTACTTGTTTTCTCATACCGTTGAAGAATGAAATAGAATCACAAGTAATAAACATGTTTTAATGAAATGTCCATCCTATTTTCTAACTGAACGGAGTAAATTTTGTTTGCTTTTATTCTTTAGTAATGTGTTCTGTTTTTATGTTGGTAACTGAGCTCACATTGTTGAGGTTCCTCTTAAAATGTTCTTAAACCAACTGGGGAATTGCACTGTTTTTAGGCATACTACTGATGAACGGTTATGACGGTTAGATATGTGAGGAAGAACAGTGTTTTATATTCTGTCCCCTTTCAATCCCCAAGCGAAAACAACTTCTTAGCAAAGTAGTAAATTCACAAAACTGGTGTCATAGAAAGTATTTTGGGGAATCTGTCATTTGATAAACACGCTACTGTGCGTTAACTCCTGTAGTTTACTTTTAATGGAAACTTCCGTATGTCAAGATTGAACTAGCTGCCATTGCCAGAAGTAAATACACGCTTTCGCGTGTAGACCAAACATGCGCAGAGCTCTTAACGTAAGGTTTGCACACGCCATGCGCAGTTGTGTTGCTGACTCCAGTGGGCATGTGAGCATTTTTGCCAGTGGTCTCGAAGATTGGTTCAAGCATGCTCTCATCGCTCATCTCAGTAGCAGCAGGCTGGTTGTTCACCGAGTTGATAAAAAAAGGCCTGGAACTGCTTTCGTCTTTACTCCTGAAATAAATAAAAAGATATTTCTGTCTTAATGGCTTCTAATCATGAACACAAATTATATAAACTTAGAATCGAGGCCAAAATAAGCTTGGTCAAAAGAATATCTTCTTTTGGGACAGACAAAGCGGGCGATACCGAGCTTATGCGTTATTGACCAAGCTTGTTCGGTCAAGATGGCTGTATATTGCCTCGTCCTTTTTTTGCATTTGAATTGACCGAGACAAATTCAGGGTCAATAAAAACGCAATTAAAAAAGAACGAGGCCAATATCTAGCCATCTTGACCTAACAAGCTTGGTCAATAAAGGATTTGTTATATGGCCAACTGAAAAGAACTTTTTCTTCTTGCGGAACCAACGCGGAAAATCACGAGCAGGCAAGATGAGCCCATCTAACCCGCTCAGGTAGCCAATCAGAACGAAGGATAAGCTTCATCTTGCCCGCTGGTTGTTTTGCTGCCAAGGAGACTAGCCCGCTGGCGGATTCAGCCATGAATAAAGACTCATTTTCCCCACTCGGGTAGCTAATCAGAACACAGCAATTGCTTCATCTCAGCCGCTCGTGTGGTGCCAGCCATGTAATTTTGTTGCCGTAAAATTAAAATGAATTAAAAAAAAAAAAGAGTTCCCTATCTTTTTACCAGTCTCTTTCTTTCGTCAATAGTTATATCCAACTGAGGCTGTGTAGAAATGGTCTCTATCAAAAACAAGCCCAGAGAGTTAAATCCCTTTCTGAGCGCGAGGTTTCAAAGCACGAAACAGCGAGAGTGGTAAAAAAATATACATAAAAATGCGAACCAAATTCAGTCGAGTTAATGGAAAAAAGAATTATCGAACACCCCTTACCTTCCGATGAATATCAAGTACTTCAACATGTTGAACGCATGGTAATCGTGAGAAGATTCATCCAAGCAGATTCCTTGGCCATGACCAAAACCTTCCAATTGAACATAAAGTGGTACGGAGCCACCCTTTAATACGCATATCACCTTTATATTAGCGCTATAGAATTCTGAGCTGCAGTTGTACGGGGGTGTAGTTGGAAGAATCGTAGCATTCACAACTTGAGGAGCCGAAACTGTCGCATTGCCAGTTGCGTTAGACGAGTTACCACCGCTGCTTAGAACCAGAGCTGTTGTTGGTAGAGGTGTTGGTTTGAAATAACCAGGCTTCCAACAAGGGCTGGATATTACTTCGCCATATATAACGATATCAGACGCAACTGCTCGCTCGATAAGACTCTTACGCTTCCACGTTTTGTCTTTTTGGGGATGTTTGCAGATCGCTTCGCTTGAACTCAACAAAGATGCCACAAACAGCGCTGTTAAGACTACTGTTTCTTTGCGCATGAACATATTTCAAATAATTCGATTTCTTGGCCTTCAAATAACACCAGGGATGGGTAGAAATCAGTTCTATTTTTTGCTGAGAATACAACTGTAAGAATTCTACAGCTTGAATCTGCTTTAGTGTTGAATAATTTAATATGTTGAGTGATGCGTCTGTAAACTCCAAGATTTAACAACAACCTGCTATTTAAGGTGTTGCCATATGAAATTTTTATATCTTTCAATCATTAATGTAGAATACGTTTGCTATTTGCTAGTATCAGGTTCAAGTTTAGTGCATTACTCAAATCAAGAATCAAGTCCTTTGGAGAGAGAACTTCTCAGTAACTTAAACTCAATTCACTTACAATTCACCTCCTCAGTAACTATATATTGACAGTCCACCTAAACAACCCGAAACGCAAGGCAAATGTAGAGATCAGGGAAAGATTCATTCTCATTTTCCATACTATGAAAAGTCGACTGTTAATTTCCGTTCCTTTATAACGGCTTCATATCATATGTACTCCGCCTTCGTTGCTTTTTGTTAACAGTGATTGCTGAAGAGCAAGGCATGCAGCTTTCGATTTTTATTCTCTTTACTGCGTCAAGGCAAAATTGAAGCACCCAACCAAGCCCATCCCGGCACGATTTAGGTTAGATCATGCGCACATACAACTGAAAAAGCATTAGTCCTCCAAGGGGTGCTTCGAGACTTGTGCTGGAGCTGGAAAAACGCGAAGGGCAAAGTACCATGGGAAGGTCAAGAAATGCAAATAACGCTGAATCAGTTGAATCACAATAGAACCATAATTATTACAAACCCTATCTCGTCCCCAGGGTACTTTGTAAACTCTACTGATGAAGGGCCAGGCCCGAAACGTTTGGAGAAAAATTCAAACTACAACACGGCACTTTTGTTCATTATTTTTCTCTTTTTTTGTTGAACATTTCCTTACTACCTTTTTTTTGTAGGCTACAAGCCGAGAATTCTGGAAACGGGTTTCATTGTCCTGTACCGTTCATTATTAATTATTATCATTATTGATATTAATATTATTATCGCCTTCCTCATTATTTTAAAATGGGTTACAGTTTCGAAGTTGCATGGTGTTGTTTTAGGGTGTATTACGCACACGATCTATTAACAAAGTAACTACTGGTGAACGAAAGGACGACCTCTCTTAGAATCAATAAACGCCAGCAAACGGTAGCTCGGAATTGAGGTGAAAGATTCCTTTCCGTACAACTGGTGATTGTAGCTACATAGCATTGAAATTGCTTTATTACAGTCATCAAGCCTTGCTCTCTCAAACTCTTTATTTCGAATTTCCTCACAGAACTTACAAGGTGGTTTTAATGTCATAGCCAGCTGATGGGCATTCTTCTGAAAGCAATTCGACAGTAAATACCTGTGTTTGTTTATTACACAAAGATTTTCTTATTGTTCAGCTACAAAGTGAAGTTGTCAAAAGCACGTCAAAAATAAAACTACAACGAATCTGGGTTTTAACGCAGAATACTAAGTGAGAACCAGCATACAAGGTCAGTGATGGCCTAGCAGAGTTTACAACGCCTTTCTAGCAGCATCTTTAGCAGGAGGTTTGCCATTGTGCTTATGCTCTTTATCCGCTACATCGTCCCTTAATACACGTTCTCTTGTCGTGTCTCGTAAAGAGTTTTTTTTCTATTGGAAGTCCACTGATTTGAAATTCTTCACATTAACATCAGCACGCTTAAAAGCACCGCCAGAGTGACCGAGGTAAGACAAATATTTCCTGCGCCCGCAGTATAGGGTGTACAGATGCTGTGGGTTTCGTTAGCCAGCACTCCAGCGGGATAATGAGCATGCCCACCAGCCACAGCAAAGACAGATTGAAGTATCCTCTCGTCTATGATCTCCACTGCTGCGAACTGCATGTTAACGTGGTGTGGCCAGAATCCGTCAGAATCGCTACCTCCTTCATGTCTACGTGACAAAAGAATTTTAATGAATGAAACACACATGGTATAAGATTGAAGAGATAGGTGGGTGTCAACTTGTCTAACTAAGTGTGAAGAAATCTTTCTAGAGCTTTAATTCTTTACAAGTTTTTAATCTTTCGAAATAATTTGAAGGTCTATTCCCTTCTACACATCAACCTTTGACAGTTTTAAATCATGTTAAACATCACTTCCAGCACAGAGCAAAATATATAATTGCCTCACATTGAAAACGACACCATTAAGGCAACTCAGAGACGAGAGACTATTGTAAACTGGTTGGCGGCGTTTACAACCGTTTGTAGCTGAAAATATTTCTGAAATGACTTTGCAAAGATCAAGAGTAGTGAGCTTTATCAAACAATTTTATTTTTACAATTGTTTGGAGAAATTGGATGATAGTCTTCTCTCTTTACATGTGAAACCTACCCTTAGGCGTTTGTAACGTTTCCATTAACCTTCTCACACCAAAAAGGGTCCATGATTTTTTTTTAATTTCATTCTCAGACAAACTGAAATCACATCCAATATCGTGACAGGACGGAAACTGCGATACTAACTGCAAGTGCGACACGTATTACAAACTGAAGGACTTGAAAAGTAAATATTACCACTTAAAAACCGATTTACTAAATAATTCATGATATAACAGGTGGAATATAAGCAAGAGATAAAGTACCAGTTTAAATGTGTTTTTGCAACCATTTTCCAACTCTTAACTTATCTTTTTAAAGCTTTCTTCAATTTTCAAAATTCTTCAATTATTTAGAAATAAGAAGTCTGCTGATGAAGAGAGGATCAGTTTCATATCAGATGGTTAGATTCTAATGGCTTCTCTAAGCTCTTGTGTCAAATTAGAGTTCGTACGTGCAAGGCACTGCATAAAATACAAAATGATCCATATCAGTCACCTTGCATTATTGCTTTCTTTTCCTCGTTTGAAGAATCTATCGATAAAACTTTGCCGAAACCTAAATGCACAATGAACTGTATAGTTGGAGACATAACTCTTCAAATTGAAAGGGTAGCCAACTTTGTCAACTTTCGTACGATCATCCCTTTGTTTAAACAAAGGGGGAGTGTAAATGTGAACGGAAGAGTAATATTTAAGCAGAATGAATACTGTAATGAGAAAGAAAATTAAAACTTACCGTCCCAAGAAGATAAGGTAATTCTTTCCTTTGTAAACATGAAAGGAGTGGACATTCTCAATGAAAGTGTACATGGAGCTGCTATATGCACACATCCCAGGCCCAACACCCACAGCTCGTAAATGCACCACTCGAGGTACAGGACCTCCTTTGATTACACAGTGGACTAAAACCGATACATTGTACAGCCTGCCAATGACGCAGACATCAGTCGTATTTAACTCTACGTTGT